AATACTCTAATTGTAACAGGTTCACAAATCAGGGTCCTATGGGCGATCATTAGATATTTCCAAGTTCAGCAGCTATGATGAGCTGCGCAGTGAGCTTGCTCGTTTGTTTTGCCTAGAAGGCCAATTAGAGGACCCACAGAGATCAGTCTGGCAGCTTGTATTTGTTGACCGGGAGAATGACGTGCTTCTTCTTGGTGATGATCCTTGGCAGTAAGTCCTTGAAATGTTTCTGTCATTCTTTTATTTTTTTTTATATATAAATAGTTTTTGCAAAATGGCAATTTAGGACACAAATTTGAGGTAATTCTATAATCATATTTTCCATTAGGTCGCTTTGATGACTAGTAGTGCTTGGGCTCCATTGCCCTTCATTGCTCTATTGATAACACCAATTCACAAGGTTCTGTTTCGGAGCCATGCATATGTTCAATTTCATACGGTGTTCCTTTATTGATCTTCAATTTAATTGTTCGCTAACTGTATATGCTTTTGTTTTTTCTTTGAAAATCTAGTTGTATACACTTGGGTGTTAAAAATGTGGGGTGGTCCTGGATGCTTATTCTTACTGGTCAAGTAGAGATAATAACTCCAGAGAATAAATCTTATCTAAAAGAAAAACGAGAAAACGAAGTTTGGGAACATACTTCCTGGTCCTAGCAGTCCATGCACGCTTGTGACGAGGACATAAACTTATTCTTCAACTTCAGTGGAATCAATTTATGAGAGTACAAGTGTGACTGAACCTCTTGGGAGGCATTTGCATTATCATTTCTTGTTACTTGAGAAATCTGTTTGCTTGTTGCTGGCATGTATGCGTCTAATTGGTTTACAATTCATTGCTGATGAACATCTTTTTCCAGGGAATTTGTGAACAATGTCTGGTATATCAAGATTCTATCTCCCCTTGAAGTGCAACAAATGGGTAAAGAAGGTCTCACTTCTGCAGCTTCTGTGCCGAGCCAAAAGCTTTCTAATAGCTCCAGCGATGGCTACATGAATAGACAGGATTTTAGAAACTCAAGCAATCCCGATGGCTACTTGAATAGACAGGATTTTAGAAACTCGAGCAATGGGATTGCATCCATTGGGTCTCTTGACTACCAAGGCAGATGCTCATAAAACCAGAAATCAAATGAAAATTAATCGTGATGTGAGTAACTATTTTATGGTCACTGTTATACATCCACTGAGCAGTAACGCTTTTACTTTTTTCCGGTGGGTAAAGTGTTGTGCATGGTCAAGTTTAACCTGCATATTACTGTAAATTGTAATTTAATATAGGAGACCTCCTATCACTATACTATGAGCGTCATGAAAGCGTTAGGAGAATGGCAGCATGGTGGTTTGTTTGTTACCCTTCCCGGATGATCCTGATATTTCAAAATATTGAGCTTGGTCAGCATTTTCATTTCAGTTTGTGATTCGTAAATACCCGGTGGTTCAATTCATTTCGTGTTTGAGTAATTAGCATTTTCATTTTTAAGTAACTTGGTGCGATTTCTAGTAGAAGAACCAGTAATTTCTGTAGTTTTGGATGAACACGACGTCCTTTTTCTGGGGTGGTGGCTGGGGATCGCTGTGGTCTGGTCAGTTCACTAGACAATCTTGCACGCAGCTGTTGCTATATGTCTTTAACGATCCAGGGTGAGGCTTCAAGTCATTTCATTTTCAAGTGGAATTGGGGAATTAAGATCTTCCACCCGCTTGAATGAATCAGATACGGTTTGTTTAAGATCATGTTACTGGAAAAGGTTTCTTAAATACTTGTATGCATGCTGTGCTCGTCTTTTAGCTCTCTGGTTTGATGGGTTTAATTCTTGTATTGCTTCAACTAATTAGAGGAAGTTTTGTGAAAGTCTCTTCTCCTGTTTATTACTTAACAAATAATGATCTGCAACTCTTCAATATTTTTTCGTAACCAAATAAATAGAAAATATATTAGTTATGAAAGTTTAAAGGAAAATCTTTGGAGAACTCTTTAAAAGATAAAAATCCTTTGAAACAGTCAAATTCATTTTTTACTTGTTCGAAAAATTGTAAGATATACTCATTTACTTGTTGAGATATTGAAACATGCTAGATTTTTTTTTATCACAATAGCTTGCTAGTATTCTTGAATTTAACTAGAACATCCGGTTATTAAAATTTTTCAGATCAAATCTTCTCTAAAATATTTTGTATATACTCCTCGTGTATTAAGAGTATGTGCTATATAATTTTGTATAAATTTCTTAACTAATTCGCACGCTTGTTGCACTGTAATTCATACTTTCATGTTCTGAAATTCTCTTCTGAAGCACTAACTTTTCTTCATACTTAACCTATTTTATAATCATATCTTATATGATAAGGATAATAATAATTTTGAAGCTTTGTAATCTGTTACGTCAATAATAAACTGCTAAGATGTTTTATAAAAACACCAATAAAATTATTTTTTGATAATTTTTTCTTCTCTGTATAAACTTATTTCTTATATTAACTAAACTAATTAGATAAATACAAAGAAAATCTAGATAAAGTTCTGTCATAAACAAATTATGTTCTTATCTAACAAAATAAAATTTAGATTCTAGATTGCTCAACCTTTTAACCAGTTGTAGCAGGAATTCCCTTGTTGTATCTTCCAATTAAGGGTACTGGAGTGAGTCACGAAACCCCATTAAAAGAGGAAGAGAAAGGGGAAAAGGAAGAAAATGCTTCCGAGCAGTTCAGTAAGGGGCTCTGTTTACTCAAGTAGTATTGAGTGTTTTTAATCTCTCATCTCATAAAAAAAGTAGATAAATAGATTGATGCTCGAGAATTTTTTTTGACTAATTAAATATTTTTTAGGTTAAATATAAGTTTATTTAAGTTTACAAAAAACCTCTTAAATGTTTTAAAATAAAAAGATTGAAAAATAATTTTTTTAAGTTCGAAAAATTCTACTAGGTCGTCGCCATAAAACTAGTTAATGATTTTTTTAAAATAAAAATATAAATTTTAATATATAAAAAAAGAAGGGCTAGTCACGACATCCCATCCACCAAATGCCTATGGTTTTTTTTTTAATTTTAATTAAAAATATACTTGGGATATATTTTATTAAATATCTTTTTTAATTTCTTTTTAAATAAAATTATAGCATTATTTTTATAATATTAGCAAATATTTTTTTTACATATAATCTTTCATATAGTGGTCCCCCCTAAATCTTATTTAGTGGCTTTCTCATGCATGTTTATTTTAATTATTATATAATTAAATAAAAAATAGGTTTTAAAAAACAAAGTTACTAAGCCTTACCGAGTTGATGACTCGGGTTATAGTTTAACTGGTTGACTTGAATCAATCTAAATATCTTTATCTTGAAAAAAACTTTTAACATCAAATTGAGTTTTGACCATATTGTGTTTGGACTTGCTAGGTTGATCTTATCATATCAATCAACTTATACTTAATTTAATTTAAAATTTCAATTGGGCCAAGAGCCAGGACGAGAGGGTCTCCAAATTGACCCACCAGGTCAAGTGAGGTTTAATAACTTTGTAAAAAAATTTTATGCAGCATGAGCAATGTATTATTATAATATTTTTAATATATTTACACAAACATTATTCAAATATTATTTTTTCTTAATAAGAATTTTTTATTTGTCTTAGAAACAATATTTTGATTAAAAATACCCAAAAAAGAACCATTTGTTGATAAGATAAAAGGGATTTAATAAGAGATATACCTTTTTAATCCTTATTTTAAATTACTCATTTTTTATATTTATTTTGATTGCCTTTTTATTTTATTAAATAAAAAAATATAGAACAAAAATGTTATATATTTTTTTTATAGAAAAAAGTATATTTTACTAGTAAATTATCTTATTTCAATAAAATTTAAATTATCACTATTTTTACAAAAGGAAAAATATTTTCATAGAATAAAATAACAAAATTTTAAAGTTTTTTGTGACATGAAATTAGATATCTTAATAGAATTCATTCATCAACTTCCTGACTTAATTTTTAATTAATATTAATATTTCTTAAAATATTTATTAATACATAGTTTTTTATTTGTGTTATTAAATATATGTATCAGTTTTCAATTCATAAATTAAAAAAAAAATGCTGGAAAACAGGTCCACAAGGTCCACACATTCCTTTCTGTGGAAGGAAAAAAACATCCTTCTAATCCTACGGCAAAAGCGCGGGTCAACTTTAGTAGCTAAAAGTACGACCATGAGGTGGCGAAGGGTTGATACTTGGATCCTTGTGCTAGAATGAAGATTAGGTGAACGCACGTGCTTTGACCTACCACGTCGCAGGTACCGTGAAGACTTATGGGAAAGCCCTGGCGTTTGCCGTTTCCCGTTTCCTGCCTCCGACCAAATTTTTCAAAGTTTATTTGGAAATATGATATTATTTTTTAAAATATTTTTAATTTAAAAATATATTAAAATAATATTTTTTATTTTTTTAAAATTATTTTTAATATTAGTATATAAAAATAATTTAAAAATATTAATTCAAAGTAAAAATAAAATAAAATAATTTTAAATTTTTTTTAATATATTTTTAAAATGAAAAACAGACAAGCTAAAATACCATTCCATTAAGAACAGACTACTTCAGTCAAGGCCCGGTCCCACTCCACACCAATACTGGATTTCCTCACCATCGTTTATAAATATTCTTGGTTGGACATAACAGGACAGGACAGGACAGGACTAGATGACATCCTGCAATGATAAATAAAGAGGGTTCTTCGGATTCTAACAAGTTCTTGAAATTCAGAGGCTGACAGCCTGACAGTGACGTGGTAGAATAGTATGCGTGCCGCATTCGGAATTTCAATATAAGAAAGTTGTTACTGGACTTCCACTCAGAGTTGAAATCAGGTGGCAAGGCATGAAACGGGTTAGCTTGAGCTACTCTTCTCCGGGCACGTCTGCGTTCAATGTTAGAATGGTAGTTAAGAATTTCATTAGAGAATTATATAGCGAAGGCTGCAAGACATATGCTAGCTATAATTATATATAAACTGACAAACCCTTCTAACAATTACTTCGATAGTAGTTCTGGCACAATTAATCAACATGGGAGAAGAATCAGGGTATCGGCCATTGTTATTCGGACCCGACTCCCGTCTTCCAGATTTGTCATCTGTTGCAATTGAAGAATTCTTGGAGCACGGGCCTGTGCCTTTCCGATGGTGGCCGCGTCTTGTTGCATGGGAATCAAGGCTCCTTTGGCTCCTATCTGGCTCATCAATCATTGTTTCCGTGGCCACTTTCATGCTTAGTTTCGTGACCCAGATGTTTTCGGGGCATTTGGGTGCATTAGAGCTTGCTGGGGCATCCATTGCCAATGTTGGGATTCAGGGTCTTGCTTATGGAATAATGGTATGCCTTGTCTTTATTACTTTTTGTGATGATTTTGTCTTGTTCATTGAGATACATGACCTTGACATTCAAATGAAAATCTTAATTCTGGTTGAAGTGTACTCTTAGATCCTCCTCCAGTAGCTTGACTTTTTGAATTGAGATTGTTTTATACACACACACTCTTTGGATGATACTTTTACATGCAACTTTATTAATTAAGAATAAAATAAAGATACAAAGCTTAATTGCTACTTTCAATAAGTTCTATATAAGTTGTAATCATGCTTTATAACTCTTAACTTTATTAATAATAAACAGTTGGGAATGGCCAGTGCCGTGCAAACAGTCTGCGGCCAAGCCTATGGAGCCAAAAAGTACTCTTCAATGGGCATCATTTGCCAAAAAGCAATTATATTGCACTTGGGAGCAGCTTTCCTCCTCACATTCCTTTATTGGTTTTCGGGACCAGTGCTGCGAGGTATAGGGCAATCTGACAGCATAGCAGAGCAGGGCCAGATTTTCGCTCGTGGCCTGATACCTCAGCTATATGCATTTGCATTAAGCTGCCCTATGCAGAGGTTTCTCCAAGCTCAGAACATAGTAAACCCTCTAGCATACATGTCTGTTGGGGTATTCCTGCTCCACATTCTTCTTTCGTGGATCGTTGTTTATGTGCTGGAATACGGTCTCCTAGGAGCAGCTCTAACACTAAGTTTCTCTTGGTGGTTATTTGTCATCATAAATGCGCTTTACATTGTCCTGAGCCCATCTTGCAAGGAAACCTGGACTGGCTTGTCTATCAGTGCTTTCACAGGAATATGGCCTTATTTTAAGCTTACAGTCTCCTCTGCTGTCATGCTTTGGTACATAAAAGATTCACAACCCTTCATGGTTTAGTACTGATTTCTACATTCTAATTACTTTGGATATTGATACTTTATTGGTAATGCAGTTTGGAGATATGGTACAGCCAAGGACTGGTGCTTATATCAGGACTTCTCCCTAATCCAACGATATCACTGGACTCTATTTCTATTTGGTATGCCACCTGCTAGCATCTTCATTTCCCACTTGCACAATGTCATTCTTTTTTACAGGTTCTAACTTGAAATAGAAATATCCCCAGCATGAACTACTTGAACTGGGACATGCAATTTATGCTAGGCCTAAGTGCTGCTGCCAGGTTTGTCAACAACTCATACGCTTCCACTGTCATTAATCAAGGCATATATATTTTGATTCAATTCAATCCATTCAGTTTATTTCCATTGTTCTGAGCTACCTTTCCGCATTGAATAAAAAGGCATAAACAAATAAGATGGCTAGAATACTAAGAAAATGCGTACCGTCTATTTCAAACCAACGAGTTTTTTGAGTTGAATTGCAGCGTTCGAGTAGGCAATGAGCTTGGAGCAGGTCATCCAAAAGTAGCGAAATTCTCGGTGATAGTGGTGAATGCCACTAGCATAATTATTAGTATAATTTTCAGTGCAATCGTTCTGAGTTTTCGAGTTGGATTAAGCAAACTCTTTACAAGCGACTCTGCGGTTATAGATGCAGTTTCTGATTTGACTCCCCTGCTTGCTATCTCCGTTTTTTTAAATGGCATTCAGCCTATACTCTCAGGTCAGAATGTTACATTTTATCCATCAACTCCTATTAAAGGCTATAACTACAAGGAAGAATAGAATAATCATTTTCTTGTTGAATTTCAGGTGTGGCCATTGGGAGTGGATGGCAAGCTATCGTAGCTTATGTTAACCTAGCCACGTATTATGTAATTGGCCTCCCAATTGGATGTGTTCTTGGCTTCAAAACCAGTTTAGGAGTTGTTGTAAGTTTCTCTCCTGTGCATTTCTTTTTCCTTCTTTGGATTAATTTGAGCCCGAGACCATCTTCTTATCGAGGGACGGAGAGGTCACTAGACTAAATCCAGCGATTGATTGTCCTAAAATCTTGCTTACAGAATAGAATTCAGATTAATCCATGTTAACTTGTTTCAGGGGATTTGGTCGGGGATGATCACAGGAGTTTTCTTGCAAACAGTAACTTTAATTATGCTTACTGTCAGAACAAACTGGAATGCTGAGGTAATTTAATTCATGTGGTGTCAATTACTTTTTTTCCCTTCTATGTTGGATTGAATCGGAATTCATTCTCGTTGTTGTTAAAAATGCATTCACAGGTTGAAAAGGCAGCAGAACGTTTGAATACTTCAGCTAACGAAGAGTTCTCCAGTTTGGTGGATACCAATTAGGCTGCATTTTGACGGTGTCTGAAGATAAAATGAACAAATACAAAGAGAAGAGATACAGACATATCTGGAGAAAATAAAGAGTAGCCTGAGTATCTTACAGACATTTCCATAGATTCCCACTTTTCCTTTTTTGTTTCTCTTTCTGCTTTTCAAAATCCAACAATGCAGTGGGTGATTTTAAGACATCCTGAGCCCAACCCATGTAAAATTAACTGAGAATATGGTTGGATAGACTTGTTTTGTTCCAGCAGTTCATTACGTGTTACAATTGTGGCTGGTATAATAATAGACCATGCTCCTTGGTACTGAAAACAAGCCACATCGTCATTGAATTTAAATTAATTCTGAACGCGTAGCATAAATTAAGAAAAATGATAATAATCTTTTAAAAAATAATTTGTAGGTGGTTGAGAGTGTGATTATGGTTATATTTCATTCAATAATATATTAATATATTAAAATAATATATTTTTTATTTTTTAAAAATTTATTTTTAATATCATCATATTGAAATAATTTATATACATAAAAAAATATTAATTTGAAACAAATAAAAAAAAATTTAAATTTTTTTGAAAATATTTTTAAAATTCAAAAACAAATAGATTCTCTTCTCATGTTTAATCATAATTATAAGACCTAGCTAAAAGATACAAGATAATATTTTGTATTATAATAATAGTTATTTTTTAAAATATTTTTTATTTGAAAATATATCAAAGTAATTTTTTATTTTTATTTTTTACAATGACACATCAAAACAATTCAAAAATATTAAAAAAATATTTTTAAATAAAAAAATTTAAAACTTTAGCAAATGTATGGTTAGTCCATTGTCAAATAGGTTCTAAGTCACCATTGATTTGAATCAACTTAAATTTTATTTTTGTTTTTGTTTTTAAGATCTAAAATTACATTTTTTTTGTTAAAAAAAAAAAGAGAAAAAAGAAGAAGAAGATTTTTCAACAACTTGGTCTTGTAACTAGAGATTTAATAGGGGTTTTTTATAAATTGTTTGAAATCAAATCATTGATTTTAATTCATAATTCACTTCCTAACCTATTATAATTTTTATATGTGAAATAAAATATTAAATTATATAGTTGAATTCAATTATACTCTTTAAGATACTAGTACAAATAAATTGTATTAACAATTTTTACTATTGTGCCATTGATTTAAAAATCATTATTGCTACATAAATATATTTTTTTACTACGAGGATCCTTATATTTATTTAAAATAATATAAAATATAAGCTTTTCAAAGAAAATATAAATAGCATCCCATATTAATTATTTATTTAATATTTTTTGAAAAAAAATGAAAATATATATTTGCTGAAACAATTTGATAAAAATATTTTCACTGGAATATTGATAAAAAAAAGTTCTAGAAATCTTACAACACCCATAAACTACATTTTTTCGTAATCATGTTAAAATAATTTATATATATTAAAAAATATTAATTTAAAGCAAATAAAAAAATTAAAAAATTTTAAAAGTACAAATAAATTTTATTCTCTTCTCATGTTTAATCATAATTATAAGAGGTAGCTTATACAAGATAATGTTTCTTTATATCAAAGTAATTTATTTTTTTATTTTTTACAATTACACATCAAAACAATTCAAAAATATAAAAATATATATTTTTAAATAAAAAAATCTAAAACTTTAGCAAATGCATGGCTAGTCCATTGTCAAATAGGTTCTAAGTCACCATTACTTTGAATCAACTTAAATTTTATTTTTGTTTTTGTTTTTAAGATCTAAAATTACATTTTTTCTGTTTAAAAAAAAAAGAAGAAGAAGATTTTTCAATGACTTGGTCTTGTAACTAGAGATTTAATAGGGGTTTTTTTATAAATTGTTTGAAATCAAATCATTGAATTTAATTCGTAATTCACTTCCTAACCTATTATAATTTTTACATGTGAAATAAAATATTAAATTATATAATTGAATTCAATTATACTCTTTAAAATACTAGTACAAATAAATTGTATTAAGAATTTTGACTACTGTGCCATTGATTTAAAAATCATTATTGCCACATAAATATTTCTTTTCTACGAGGATCCTTATATTTATTTAAAATAACATAAAATATAAGCTTTCTAAAGAAAATATAAATAGCATCCCATATCAATTATTTATTTAATATTTTTTGGAAAAAAATTGAAAATACATATTTGCTAAAACAATTTGATAAAAATATTTTCACTGAATGTTGATAAAAAAAAGTTCTAGAAATCTTACGACACCCATAAACTACATTTTTTCGTAATCAAGACTAATTTGTAAATCTGAATGATTTTTAACTCCAGGGCTTAAACTATAACTTTTTCAAACTCAAGAGATATTACCTTAATTTTATGGTATTTGTGAAGTAATTAATGGTATCTTATTAATTATTTTCTTGACATATTTGTTTTTACAAAAATAAATATGAGAGAGAGAGAGAGATTTTAGGTGAAGATTCCTGTAACTTTCAGTGAATTATTGGTTTTATTATTTTTCTTTTTATATATGTTTATTTCTTCAAATTAAATTAAAAAAATAATTAATAATGATCAGAAATTTTAGGTGAAGATTCCTATAACTTTCAGTGAATTATTGGTTTTATTTCTTCAAAATAACATTTATTTATGAAACTTAGAAATTCTTGTATCAAATGATACCTTAAAAATTAATACATGAATCTTTTAAACTAAAGTTTATCAAAACCCCATGAATTTCTACATTTCAAATCAATATTTACTGAATCGGGTTAATAAATCTTAACCCAAATCATCTCTCCAAAACCCATAAATCAAACTTAGTATTAACCATACTATCTTCAACGACAAACCCATGACCTCAAACACCCCTTATACATCAAAATCAACTCCTTTTCACCTTAATGCTCAGAAAATAATAATAATAATCTAGCAAGTATATATATACGACGGAGACATGAGGTCAAAAGAAACCTTAAAAGTCCAGGAAATTAGGAAACTTATCAATACTGGCCTATCTTAACCAATTTTCAACAGCAAAATTAATGCCAAAAAAACAAGTTAAACCATTATGGAGCTAGGGAAGTCAGGGCAAAGATAAGCAAAGAGGGATTATGAACGAGTATTTTTAGAATATTATAAATAATTAAGATTTTAAGAGGAATTACTGTAGCATATTAAAGAGGAGACCCTTTGATTTGCTTTTCCTCATTTTTTATTACTTGAATTTCATTTGGAATTCAAATTAATATTCTTGAAATGACTTCAAATATAAAAATTGTTTTAACCTTCGAAATTGAATTTAATTGCAAGGGTTTCAAATAGCCTGCCAATGTTTTGTGAAACAACTATTATAAATTACGGGATAAGGATGTAATCGCAAAGAATTTAAAGTCTGAGCACTCATGCAAGCAAGTTTTAACCGATGAAAGATGAACAAAAGCTACCACAGGAAACCAGGAATATTTGTTTCACTCCACCTAATCCATATGATTGAACTGATTAAATTATTTCAATTAACGGTAATAATGTTTTTACTACAGTTATTGTTACCACTTACCATGTCACTACCACAGAACCATACCGGATTTTTTTGCCTCAGAAGAAAAACTTACCCCTTCCTAGATTGAACAAGAATTAAATATGATCTTCATAGTGATTAAATTTCTTTTTTAGGCGGCTAATGTTAATCCATAGGATAATTTTATCTCTTAAGTTAAAAAAGATAAAAAAGAAAATAACAATCTTGGAAATGGCGTGGGCCACGGGGACGGATCCGAATACTCCGTAAAATACGATTTTACACTTTAATTAACGTTATTCCTCTGTCTCTCCTGTCAAATGAAACACCAAAAAAATAATAATAAGAATTTATTTTTCTTAATTGAATTGCTTTCACAAATTCAGATCCAACCTCCCTTGCTCTGTCCGTCTGTCTGTTTCTTTCTCTACGTTGTCGTTGCCGTTGATCTACTATCGGTTCAACCAGTCTCCGGTCACATTCGACCTTCATTTTCTCTTCCTCATTGCTCAAATTCGCAGGTCAGTTCCTGTCGTCCTTTTTTTTTTTTTTTGTGATGAGTGGATATTGGCGTGGAATGTCCTTGCTTGGAACTTTTGAGTAGGCTTTAGGACCCCACAACAATGATGTCGATTGATGATTTCTTTGTTCCTTTTTTCGTTGGCTATAAATACAAAAAATCCAAAGGGTGTGTTTTCGTCATTTATTTGAATGAATTTGGATCTAAATATTCACATTTTCATTTTCATTTTTTTTAATGTTTTTTGTTTTTTTATGTGAATATGACTTAAAGATTGAGGTTCTGATGACGGGAAGGAAAATGTGGTACGAGAATGATAGGAATTGTCTAAAGTTTGAATCTTTGGATTTGATGGTGTGGGGTCCCAAGGAAAGAAACGATCGCTTCCATTTAAAGACCCTAAATTTCTTCTTCTTCTTTTTTTGTTCACTGTTGCTTCCCTTTTTTCTCTGTTTTGGCATTTCTTCACTGTTTGTTTTGTAATCTATTATTGTTGTTTTCGGTTTAAAGTGAATGAATGAGGTGCATTTTGTATTTTGTTTGCGGCAGGCATTGATTCTTTAGGAAAGTTTTTTTAGGTATTGAAGAGATATAGAGGGGTGAAATTTATGAAGAAAAGGGATAGGGAGCAGAGATGGTAAGGAGCCAATCTGCTGATTCCAGTGAGTATGAGGATCAGACACCTTCTCGAGAAGTTTGGGCAAATGGGATTTGCATGAAAACTAGTGAAGTTGAAGCAAAGCTTGATGAGGGAAATATTCAAGAGGCAGAGTCTTCCTTACGTGAAGGGTTATCGCTAAATTTTGAGGTTGAGTCCTTAATTTTAATCTTAAGGTGCTGTTATTAATTTATTGTTATCGGAATGAATGATTGGATTATTCTTTTCTTTAGCTTGTGTAATTACTAGAGGGAAGAGTGTATTAAATAGCTTCATGAATTAAAGCTCTTTTTATTAATTTTCTTTTTCAAGATTGAGGTTGAATGTGTTGGGAATGATGTTTGATCTTCCTACTTCACCCAGTGTCATTTCTTATGCATTTAAATAATGTTTAAGAAACGAAAGACATGAATGATCTCTTACTCAGGTAATGAGTAATTTTGGTACCTGCAGGGGTATTCCAGAGAATGGACTTTTTCAGAAGGCTAATCTTTACCTGTTATGTACTTCCATGAAGGTTTCTATTTCAAAGTAGTTGATTCTACTGAACCTG